TTAACATCTTATATGTATAATGAGTAGTATGTAGGAAGCAATCAATTCTCAATTTCAGACGGACCAACACTTTTATATGGGATGAATTCCTTGATTTGTTTGCCAGCTTCGTTCTTTTCTTCTCTCTCAGTACATGAATGGGGGCTTTTATTTCCTTGTTCTCTTTTTCAGTTTGGGCAGCATGGGCTTGATTTTGTAATCATGCTGTTGATTTTGGAAAAAAAAGGATTTAGAATTTTCCTTATTGGTATTTTGGATGTGCCGGAAGTAGAGGAATAGGATGTGGAAGAGTAGATAAACAGAACCCAATGAGTTTGGGAGAACAAAGTAACTTGCTCCAAGCTTGTACATCTACTTCTGAGAAGGTACACACATCAGCTTGATATTCGTTGTTTTATTGAGCATATACTTCTACAAGAAAATTTTCAAGGTCATATGTGTTTCTTGTTTCTAAAAGAAATTTTTGCTTTATTGCCATACGGTGAAAAGTTGTATCTACCGAAAGGGTAATCATTTTGTTCGTTTTGCTACTATCAGATTTCCTTTGTTTCTAATGTTTAGGATTCTAATTTTCTGCAGCAGATGGTTTGGACTTAAACACCTTTACTAGAAAATTTAGAGGTAAACCTTTGGCTTTCTTTTGTTTGGATATCTCTACTTCGTGAATAGTTATATTGTAGCTGTTAAGTTGGACTTTGGTAGATATTAGCCTCAGTTTTTTTTAAAAAATTTTTTTGGAGTTTAATGATTTGAATGGGGTTTCTTTTTTCTTCTTTTAGTTTTTTTTTCACTATATAATTTGCACTCTTTTACTATATAAAAAGTGGGACAGAGAATGGCACAGAGTGTGGGACAGAAGATCCGTTGCGATGTTAGGGTATAGAAAATCTCATCGTGTGAGATTAAGGAAGTTGAATTCTTTTCTACAACTTATTTCAAGTATTTTATTTTTATGTATTTGAGATTTTTATTTATGCATTCTATCATATCATATACTGTTTGAATTGATTTAAATCTTCCAATTCAGTTTTCCTTGGACTGCACCTTCCACGAAATGCCACTGTTAATTTGTGTGTAGCTATGCATAATTAAGTAGATCTAAGTTCCCATTGAATCATTAAGTGGACCATGATGAATACTCAGTAAAATAAAGCCAGATCATTTTCAAATGAGTGAACAAAGTGCATAAATATTTTTTCTAAAAATAAAAAAGAATCTCTAAAGCTTTTCTTTGATTCAGTGTTCCCTAACGGACAAAGTAGTGTGTAAGAGGCAAGATTTTAAGATTGAACTACTACTTTTCCAGCAATCGTACTCGTGGGCCATGGACAGCTTTTTGAAATAATACGAAAATCGTTAGATGCTTTACATGTATTACTTAGCATTGGTACGTGGTGTATTAATAGCATTAGTAACTTATCACTAGATAATGATAGTAAGTCAAGTTTTATAATCGGCTAATATTAATAGTTTACCATCAAAATGATGGCAAGTCATAGTATTTTATTTAATATGTGATGTTCTAGGTGGTGAGCTAGGATTAGTACTGTAGCTTATGAAATTACACATTGAAAAGCATTTTGTTGAATAGGTTATGCCTTGTAGACATTTCCTATAAGCTTAGATTTGAGTTGAGCTTATGCTTCATTTAGGGTGTAGATAATGTGAAATTCAGAATTAATGGCGATTATTTATTTAAATAGCGCAATATACATAAATAAGATTTTTCAAGTTGTATTAGGCCAGTACAATGTATCTTATACTTTTATAAATGACAAGTCATCGATGCCTGTACAATAATAATAATCCTAATTGTCAACAAAAACAGTTTTGAGTCAATTCTAGTACTGGAGCAGGGATTTTAGATGTACAATAGGTAACTAGATTCATCCTGACTCCGAAGAGTTTGCTAAATTCGATATACCATAATTTATTCACGAAAACTTGTTAATTTGTATATAGGGCAAGTAGGATCGAATCCATAGGGATTGGGAGTAATTCGTTTCTACTAAAGTTCAAGTTAACAATGGGGGATTTTTTTATAGCAATGGCAATAACTAAACGGTTTGAATAAAAATGAATAGCCAACAAAAGATTAAATGACAAATTACTAAAACCAAATTAACAATAGCTAAGCTCTAATCAAGAAATAACTTCAGCAATGGTTCAAGTAATTGATCATTGATGCAGAGATAATTCCAATTGTTAACTAATAAATAAGTTATAACTGCCGAACAAGCGATGATAGTCAACTCCTCCTTACTGTTTCAATGATTGAGGTACACCCATCAATCACTACTCTAATTGGGAAATAATCTTAGGTACGTCGTAAGATTTAATTCCCTAATTGCCTTATGTATTAGAGGAGCCTTATTTTAACCAAATAACACACTACCAGAGTTATTTTAGATTAACTTGCGTATTCTCCTGACACAAAGCCAATCATGTCAGTTGCCACTATTTTAGAGCAATTAAACAATTACGAATTTAACGCTCCAATTGACGTCAGATTGCTAAATTAATTCAACATCCGGGTCCAGGATGTTTAATTAGCAAAACAACCTGAAACATAACAAACAGAGAATATGCAAATACTAATAAATAAGAGGAATGAATAAAATTAATTTAATTTCATAATTTTTAGATGAATCAAAGCCTCCGTTGTTCCTTGACTAGAAAAAGAGATTTAGTTCATCCCATGGAGAAAGACCAATGCAAAATTGTAGAAGTCAGTGTTGCGTCCACTGCCTCCAAAATTGAGATGAAAAAGCTGATGGAATTAAGAACAATGCAAAAGAACTGCCAAGTCAAAGGAATGGCTAATTATTTTCTACCAAGTGTCTGACATACGACGAACTCGAAGCCACTAAAAGATGAAATTGTCAAAAGCCAAGAAGGAGTCGGAATTGACTGCCGCTTTTTCTCTCTAATTTTCTACTATACGGCTACGGGAGCAAACAAAGGAAAGGGTCCTACTGCTACTAGTCTGCGCAACGATCTTCAATTTTGTCGTCAATTGGTCTCATGTCTCCCGTTACCACTCAAACTCTTCTGCTAATTACCATCAGATTGGTTCCTTTTATGATATTTTGTTCTACTCTTTATAATAAATACAAATTTTTAAAAGTGAATAAAATTGAATAATTAATTTATATTTGATAAAGTAAAAGAAAAAATTAATTATAAAATAAATAACAAAATTAAGACTTATCAATAAATGTCCTTATAGTATGTCTGTTTTACTTTTGCCCAAACCAATACATGCAACAGCTTCTACTGTGACTACTTCTCCCCAAATAAGGCTTATAAACCCAAGATGTGAATAGAAACCTGAACTAGCCGGTCAGTTATTGGTTTTTTTTTTTTTTTTATAGAGAGTTACACGTGGTTCTTGGAGTTTTATGACAGGAAGTGACTCTATTTTTATCCATTTTTTCCCGAGTTTACTGGATTTAGAGGTGTAGTAACTGACCATCCGGCTGAAGTCTTGGCAATTTCTCTTGTAGAATTTATTGAAAATGGGCTTTTTAATTAACTATTACATGGTAAAGTTTAGTGCTTTAAAAATTATTTTTCCTCAAATGCCTACTAAATTACTGTTGTGATTGTCTTCTTAGTTTCTTGTCTTTATGGGAATATCATGGAGGAACAAACTTGGGCAGGATAGCTGGTGGACAATTTATTGCCACTAGCTATGATTATGATGCTCCTCTTCATGAATATAGTATGTAGATTGTGTCAGCTCCGAAACTCATGCTCTAAGTTTGCCGTATTCACCTCATTTCATCTAGATGCTAATGTTCTCTATATTAGTTTGAATTTTGTTGGTAAACTAGCTTTTGGGTTGGCATTTGTTTTTACAGTGGCCATACTTATCAGCAGCTAAGAAACCTCAATCTGCCATGTCATTTAAACTGGACATTTGTGTCATTTGACTAAGAGAGAGAGAGAGAGCTAAGAGAGGTATATGTAGTTCAGTTTCGCCTGTTTAAATAGTTTCATGTATTTTCTTACTCTCGTAATTGTTGTATAATCATAATTATTCTCGCTTTTTTGCTTTTGGGCATTGAGGTTTGTGTATATTTCCTGGCAGGGGCGATGAAAATCTTTTATTGAGTTATTGATGGCGAAATGCATTGAGGTAAATTCAAACCCATATCTTGGCTGGCAACCCAGATGGCTTCTGGGATGAGATGGAACTCATTCGCATGTGTAACTGGGAATTTGCAACCATGGTGGTACCTCCCTCCATTTTGCCTCCTTTTTTTACAGATCTATGCCTGATTGATCATTTTGTGTATCTTCTCTGTATCTTTTAATTAATCGATTGTTTTTGTTCCAGTCTTGTGGTATGTTGATTTATTGTTGGATGAATTCCATTGGAAACAATACATTGATAGACCTAGAAACATCAATTTCATTAAGCCAGGGGGAACCCAGAAATTTTATGCAGCAGTTATATGTTATGAAACATTAATTTTGCCGTTTACTGCATTGTCGTGTTAATGACTGTCGTGGTTAGGACCAAAGACCAGTCAAAGAATACTTTCTCAGCTCCTACCGTCTTGGTTTTAATTTTTCACGAGTTTTGGGGATCAATAAGTAGAATCTGCAGTCAATCATCATTTGTTTGATATAATTTGGTTTTTGATTCAATTTTGGTTTTAGGAAGTTGATGCTGGTCATGCACTGCATTTCACTAAGTGCAACTAATATCAGTTTCGAAAATTGCAAGATATTCAACATTCACACCTTGGTATATTAGAAAAGAGATGATGTCAAGATGTAGTCAAAAATTAGCAAAAGCCTTAGTTACGTTGATTTACAATTTTTAAACAAGACAGAGCCTAATTGTTCTTTATTGCTATCCTTTGTTGTTTAGGTTTCTATGACCCTCTGTGGAGCAGGCATCATGATATGTTGATTTATGCCTTTTAATGTGCCTTCGCATCGCGCTACTGTAATTATAATTCAGTAGAAAATATTACCCAAGGGATATCATTCAGGAGAAAATATTCTCTACACGATCAATGGCCTTTTGATAACACTCCCACGCATTGTGTGGGAAACAATTCTCTAGTATTTTGATAAATACTTGAAATAAGTTTATTAATCACCACACTACATAACATCCATTCTACGCGGGAATTACAAATATGAACCTCCTTACTTCTGCGATATCATGTCCGCATCAAGCCTACTGATCAAATCTTCTGGCATGTCTACAAGCTCAAGCTTATCAAGCTCAAGCTCTTCCGGCAACTTCTCTAATGAGAGGCACTTCCTGATTCTCAGGCACTGGAGCTGTTGCAGTGCACCTTTCTCGACCTGTATTTCCTTCAAACCATGTTGGAAGTTGAGCTCAAGGAATTTCAATTGGGGAAACCCATGCCTAGAAATGACTAGCTGTGCTCCCCAATATGAAAATTCCATTTTGAGGAACGACAGCTGTCCCAACTTCTCTAGTGCTGGCATTGGATCATGCTCGAGACGTGTGAAACTCAAAGACAAGCGAGAGAGATTTGGAGGGAAATCAGGAGGCAGCATTCTCAAACCCGACCCGGATAGCTTAAGCGCTGTTACATGATGGAGCTCAGAAAGTCCACCTAGAGACGACCACTCGCTTCTTCCATCAAAATAAAGACGTAGCGCCTTTAGGCTTCCAACTTCAGATAAATGCATGCAGAGTCTGCCTATGTCTGATTTGTCATCCACCCAAATCCCCAGTTTCTGAAGACTTGTCAAAGTTATCATGTTATTGTGCATAATGTCATCAAAGCGTATGCGTGACAGAGTCTGGAGATTCCTCAATCCTTCAATTTTAAGAGGCACATCACATTCCACTTTATACGCATATAGATGCCGTAAACTTTCAAGCATCCAAATGAAATTTGAAACTCTCACTCGGTGAAAGTTGCGTACGTCAAGAGTTTGTAGGTTTCGCAACTGACCAAAGGAATCAGGGAGCCTTCCAATGGATGTGCGTCTTAAACCGAGGTACCTTAGGAGCCTGACTTTACCAATTCCTTCTGGCAAATTAGAGTACATCTTAACATCCTCGAGGTCTAGTATCCTGAGCTTTCTGAAACTTCCGAAGCTCAGACTATTGTTTTCCCCGTAATCGTGGACATTGAAAAAAAGTAGAGACCGGAGAGGAGGGGTAGAAGTCCCAAAATAATTTGTATCCCAAGGGAGAACATGAACAGCAAGGTACCTGGATTTGGCTGATATTTCATCATCTCTGGTTTCATGGATCTGAAAAAAATTTTCATCCTCTGCCTTTCTGATTGCAAGCTCTCGCAGTAAATCATGGACTCTACAGCTTTTAATCCTCTCATCAACAGTCATTTCCACCACTTGGACCAGATTTCTGCTACAAAGTCGTTCCACATCTTCATATGCTGCAGTTTCCTCCAAATTTTTTGCATCTCTTTTCTGCATTATTCCTTCTGCAACCCACATATGGATCAACTTGCGCACAGAAATCACGGAGTCCTCTGGAAACAAACCCAAATACAAAAAGCAAAATTTCAGATTGGCAGGAAGATCTGCATAACTTAATTCCAGAATTGCCCCTGCATCACTCTGGCTTCTTGATAGGTATGCGCTGAAGTTGTCGAGAACTTTCTCCCATTCACTCTCCAACCTTTTCTTGCCCAGTAGCAGGCCACCAATAACCGTTATGGCCAGTGGTAGACCGGCACATCGCCCCGCAATTTTCCTGCCAACTACTTCCAAATCTGAAGGACACACAGCATTAGCTCCGTCGCCTAAGGCCTTTTTGAGGAACAACTGCCAGCTATCGTCCTCCCCCAAAGTTTTCAACTCATGTGGGATGCTAAGAGCATCTGCGTGTACGGCAACATCCCGCTTGCGACTTGTAAGTAGCACTCTACTTGAATTAACATCAGGAAAGGCCCTCCTGGCAAGACAATCCCACGCTTCTTCCTTCCATACATCATCAAGTACCACAAGATAACATTTGTCTTGTAGATCTTTATACAGCCTTTCTTCCAAGTCCTGCTCCTGCATCTTTTCCAACATGTCAAGTAGCTCATTAGTTATCGGATTCAGTTGCTTTATGATTGTTCTCAGCGTCTCTTTGTGATTGTAGATTGAAGAGACGCATACCCAAACACGGCAGTTGAATCTTGCTCTGACGTCAGCATGGTTATAAACTTTTTTGGCTAGAGTTGTCTTACCAGCACCTCCCATGCCAATGATCGAAACCACCCGGCGGTTTTTGTCGCCTTTCAAAAGTTCTTTCACCAGGGATTTTGTTATCTTCTCGAAGCCCACAATATCCGTGTCCTCACTAATTGGAGAGGACCGTCGGAGCCGTTGAAGCTCTTCTCCTTGTGTACTCGTTCCCTCGCCAAGATTTTTGATACCATATTTTTCACGGCTATCAGCTATGTCATTGATCCTCATCTGTAAGGACTCAATCTCTTTACCTATCTTGTAGACGTTCACAATTTTCAAGGGATAATGTGTCAATTGGGTGACGAGTCCCTTGTCCTTTATGAACTCAACTTTGCTGGCAAATATCTCAATGATATCCTCCGCATCGTAGGCAGCAGCTCTGATTTCAGAAACCCAGTTGCGGATCCTCGCATCTTCATCTTGCCTCTGATCACCATCTTTCAGGAAACACCGCATCCGGACCAGATCATATTGAAGTCTCTCGACTTGTCGTCGAACGCCTTTCAGGAAAACAAGTTTTTGAATCAGCAGATCGCCAGTTCTCTCAATTACAAAAGAGATAACAGGGTCAGCCATCCTGGTAAAGTGAGCTTTGTTTTGAACAACTAGTAAAGGAGGAGAAGCTTTTGCCTGTTGGGTGCAGCTGCAAAACTTCTAATGTCTGTTGTTTTTAACTGATCTCAGAAGAGAGGCTCGATTCTCACGTGGTTCATTTTCTCTTCCAGTCAAAAGGAAAGCAGTTCGATTTACATGGTAGGGACGCCTGGGAGCCCTCCAAAAAAGATAAAGGTGCTGCTGGTGGCGTGTTTTGGGACGGTGGAATAATTCATCTTTATCCTTGCCTTCATTTTATTATTTGCCTGAGATCCTTTCTTTCCATCATGTTCACCTTTTCTGCTGTCCTTAATAAGTTACAGTAATCAAGCGCATTTTTTCCATTTCATAATCTGGACACATTATTGAATTTTGCTCCTCGGTTATTTCATCCCGTCGATCCTGTCATTGTAGTTTAGCTTTATTTATACTACCTTTTGGAGTGCAAAATCTTTCAAGATATTTTAAGACCTAATTAATGGTACTCATGGTAAAAGAGCGGACATCTACCAACAACTTTGTGCAGAGACCAAATAACAATTTTCATGGTGAAAATTAGGAACATTAGAAGCTGAGCAACAAACGGGGCCCTTTGGATTTCTTTCCTTTCAACAAGAACCTCTCAAATGCTTGGGAGTGATCAAGAAGCTAGATCCACTTGTCTACTTTATTGGCATGGTATCATATCCTGTAGTAGCAAAAAAACGAAGAGCCAGTTGCTGCACAATCCAAGAGCTATCCCAGCAAACTTTTGCATCTGAGATGAGATTACCGAAAGAATGCGATGCGACGCAACTATCGTCCACTTTCAATTGTAGGTTTGACGTTTTCTGCAGACATGCCTTCTCTTTTACATTTCTTTTCAGCTTTTCTAATTTTTCTTCTCCCCATTAGATAAAAGGGGGATAAAAAAGGTAAAGCAGACGAGACAAGGAATGCTTTATTTGCCCACTTCAGTGACTGATTTACAGCATGCATCAGTCTTGTTAATGTTGCCATTTGTGGGTGATATTTAACATGATTAGATTTTATTTTTTTTTAAGATAAACTGTGGGACTTCAATTTCAATAGCTACTACATATTATTATCGGAATCTTTTGATAGTTTATATATGGGATTTTCAATCCATGCGGGACGTAGTCGAAAATCTGCAAATCATCCAGCTGCCTCCATGACATTCCTTCTTTCAGCCAGCATTGTTCACTAGAACAATTTACTACTACTATATTCTCTATATTATGCACTTGTGCATGAGATACCTACGAAAGGATCATTAGTTAATCATTAAACTTTACGAGCAGGTTTAACTATAAAACTATGTAGTCATTACTCATCTAATCTCTACCTAACCACACGCTAAGCTAGCCGCCTAGCTCTTCCTTTCTTTTTAAGTTAAGACTAATCTTGCTTAATCTGATTATCATTCAGGGGGTCTCTAGATTCTACCCCTGATTAGTTCCTGTGTGAAAGTGCCGTTGGCCCTCCATAGAACCAAGAAAGTTGAAATTTCAAAAAAAAAAAAAAAAAAAATATATATATATATATATATAAAGAAGGCATTGTTTAATGTTTACCTCTCCTTTCTTGACCTTAGCCTTTACTTTGAGGAATGCGCAAGCACGCCGCCCTAAGACGTGAAAGAAATGATTATTAGGATTGTAGTAGTAACATATTACCACCACTAGTGATTATTGGGACGGTGGATATCAAACAAAGTATACGAAGGATGAAGAATGAACTAACTAGTGTTTAATAGTTAAATTTCTCATTTTAAAACTAAGTTACAATGATTTGAAAACAAGTTTTTTTTTTAAAGAAACATTAAAGTGGAATCATGATAGATTCAAGATGGGTTTGGGGTGGGACATTAACAAACAAGTTTTGCTTTATACCTATATAATATTATTAAAAATTTTTAATTTTCATTCCCAAAATCTATATTCATGAATGCGCAATAATTATATAGTTGATCAATTGGGATTTCGCTATATTGAATTCTGCAAGTTCAAATAAATTTGCACTTTTAAATTGCAATAAGTAGTATAGTAGCCTAGTAGGTTCCATTTAACAAAGTTTAATTGAAATTTGGTTATGTTTAATTCAATAATAACTCCGTTATTTTTCAAAATATTACTGATACCGGTTTTGCTTTTCGTTCTTTTTTCCTTTTAAATTGGTGGAGGCTGTAATCCATTACATCCAAATTGGACGGAATTGATACCGGTTTTCCGTTTTGGCTTGCTTCGGGTTTTGGGTTGCATTCTTCTCAAAATCACAGCCTTGATTGCTGTGTTTGTGTGTCGGCAGAAATTTATTGGCTGGTAGTAAGTGCCCATAGTTTTGGATGCTACACTAAAGTCTCGGTCCCTGGTATGAACGGGCAACAATCAAAATGATAATTTAGACGGGCATGAATTAGTTAAAATGAATAATGGATATAAGTGAGTCAACAATCTCTCGGACTATTGGCAGTCCCAAGACTAGATCCACCAAATTTGTCACTTAATTGTGGCTGCTACCTTCGGATGGCTTCCTTCAACAGGGATTCCCGTCGACTTCTCCTCCTCTTAGATTAGATTAATGTAGATTATACAACTATTATTGTTGCAATAAAAAAAAAGATATAAGTGAGTCAATTTATTTATATTTATTTAATTAGATGGGTATAAATAAATAAATCAAAAAATAAATTAGATAATCCAATTATTTATAATCTATTTATTTTAACTTTTTATAAACTCATTTAAATTCATTTTTACAAACTAAATTATTAATTTATACCAACCTTTGCACCCATCATTGGTTTTAAATATTTATTTATAATGTTCAATAAATCTAATTACCAATTTTTTTCTCATTCATATTTTATATCACAAAATTACATACTATTCAATAATTGAACAATAACAATATAAAATTTTGAACTAAATACTATAAAATTTAACATAAAAATTTAATCCAAAAATTTTGAACTCCTAACATTTTTTTCGTATGTAAGTTTAAAATTTTATTTTGAAAAGATAGAAAAAGAAATTAAAGCTTGTCATAAATTGGTAATGCTGAAAAATTAGCAAATTAATAAATTAAGAGAAAATAAAATGATTAGATAAAATCAACAAATAATAATAATAATAATAATGAAACAAAAGTAGTTAACATCATGAGAAAATGAAAATCTGAAAAAAAAAAAAGAAAGGTAGAAGAAGAGAGAAGGTTTGGAGAAAGATAATTTTAAATGAGTTAATTGAATTTGATAAATAATCCAATAATATCCATTTAATAAATAAATATTATTAAGTAATATATTTATATCCATATATAAAATTTAAAATAGTCATATTCTTGTATTTATGAACAGATATGAATAAATTTAATTAAATACATTTGTTTGCTACCTATAACCATAACCAAGACACTTTTATAGGTCCACGGTTTTGGATACTACAGCAAAGTCTTTGTCCTTGGTACCAACATAAAATGATCAATTTTCCACGGGCCATGACCAAGACAATTTCACAGGTCCACGGTTTTGGATGCTACAGTAAAGTCTTGGTCCGGGTACGAACAGGCAATGATCAATTTTCCACAAGCCATAACCAAGGCACCTTTATAGGCTTTTTTTTAGACACGATATATTATAATTTAGACATACTCGTGCTCTATAATTAAGAAAGGGGGTGATGAAAGGAGTTAAGAGGGGAACTGAGAGGAACTAAATCACCAATACCACTGATGTGATCTGACAAAACTTTTCAAGAAATTCTGGATCTAGACCTACAAAAGCACCCTTATAGGAGGAAAAAGAACAAAAATGTACAAGATTCCTCTCTTATCAAGTCAATTTTCCATCATTTTCCTTTACTTTCTCTTTTTTAGAGCAGAGTGGGAATCTGACCTCATTAATACCCCACCTATTGACATAAAATTTGCCACATAATTGATGATGGGACTAACCTTAACATGCACAGATAATTAATCTGTATGGCATTTTTTGTTGAAAAAATGACCTATTTTATTTTTTACTTTTGGCAAAAAATATTTTTTATCTCTCATTTTTAAAATGCTACAAGCTAGTTCCTCACATTTTAAAAGTGAAACAAATTAGTCCCAGATTGATAATCTAATATAGATTTTAGATATAAAATTGGAACATCATTTTAGTTCTACCAAATCTAGCTACATATGATATGTACATGACATTAAGTCACTATAAAATGAAAAAATAAAAAATTATGACATAAAAAACAAACATTTCTGCCTAAAAGAAGTTAATTTTTTTTAAGGCAACGACATTAGTCAACACAAAAAGAAAAAATCAAAATTTTATAATTCAAAAAATTTTTAAACTTTTTAGAGTGAAGGGTTTGTTTTTTATGTTATACTTTTTAAAATTTTCTTCTTTTTTAAAGTGAATGGTTTGTTTTTGATGTTATAATTTTAATTTTTTTTATGCTAACCTAATATCACTTTCTCAAAATTTTTAATTTTTAAGAGAGAAGGTTTTTCTTATGCTGTAATTTTGAATTTTTTCCTTTTTCTATTGACTTAATATGATGTATATGTCAGATATACTTAGATTTGGTTAACACTAAAGTGATATTTCAATTTTACCCTTGAAATCTATATCAGGTTGTCATTTTGGCATTAATTTGTTTTGTTTTTAAATTGTGAGGGATTGATTAGCTTCATTTTAAAAGTAAAGGACAAAAAAATAGTTTTTTTTTCTAAAATGTGTGGGATGAAACATATCATTTTAATTTTTTTGGATAAAATACAAAAAAGTCCCTATAATTTCAAAACATACATTCCAATGCCTTGTAGTTTGAACTACTTTAAAAAAGTGACAGAAATCGTCTGAATTAATTAGTTTGAGATACACGCACCTCTTTTGTGAGTATTTATTGGAAACAAATAAAATTTCTGATGATATACCTATCATATCCTTAAAGTTAAATAAAATGGCAGAAAGCAGAAAGCTCCTTGTGATTAAGCAAACCTACAGAAAAAGCCCCTTATGATTTCAAGTCATACAATTTAGTATTTCGTGGTTTGAAATAACGTGAAAAATCAACAAAAATCATTTAAATTAATGAGTTTGAGATAAACATCCCTCGATTGCAAGTGCTTGACCTGGAAAATAATTTTTTTAATCAAATTTTTAGCTAATATACCTATTAAACCCCTTAGAACTCATAATATTCTCAAAAACAATCCAAAACTCCTAAATACATTTCATCTTATTTCTATATATAAAATAAATAAAAACTCTCAAATACAACTCACCTTATTTCTGTACAAAAATAAATAAATAAAAATTTTCAAATATAACTCAACTTATTTCTATACATAAAATAAATAAATAAAAGCTTCTAAATAAACTCACCTTATTTCTATACATTAAATAAATAAATAAATAAAAATAAAATACCAACCCCATCTCTTCCTCCACCACCACTCCCCTCTTGCCACCACCACTCTCCCCTCCATCACCATTTTTCTTGCATCCTGCTCCCTCTCCTCCTTTCCACGGCCATTTCTCCGCACTCCTTCCAATGACCATAATTGGTTGTGGAAGAGAGAGAGAGAAGAGGTCGTGACCAAATCACCCTTTCCTCAAACCCTATCCTCTCCCTCCTGTGATAAATTTAGTCATAGAAAGAAGGTGAGGAGGTGCAAGAAAGGGGTTGCATAGGGAGGGAAAGGGGTGCAGGAGAGAGAAAGGGAGAGGAGGAAAAAGGGGACAAAGGGGGTTGTGGTGAAGGGGAAGGGGACGATCGAAGGTGGAGAATGCTAATGACAACAATCAGTAATCATAGAGGATTTTTTCATAGGTTGGCTTAACAATAAAGTGCTTCTCCATAAATTTACTTAATTAGGATAGTTCTTAGAAGTTTGTTTTGCTTATATACATTAAGATAATTCTGTCATTTCAACAGCCTCCATTAGTTTTAATGATTTTTGTTGCTATTTTAAATTAGTTCAAATCATGAAAGATCGGAATGTATGATTTGAAACCATAAAAAGCTTTTCACATGTTAGCTTAATTACAT